GATTAGTTTCAATTTAGACCACTCGCTTTTATATATAAACTAAGGTTTTTGGGTTAATTGATATGCACATTTTTTGTATTCCCTTTTCATATTCCATGTATTTACATTGCCATATTCCATACCCTCATATTGGTGGGGGTGAGGGGCATTTTTTATTGTTTTGAGTGTTTGGATTTAGGATTTTGGTTTAAATTTAAATTTTGCATCATCTAGATCTAGCTTTTCCATTTTCTTTCTTCTATTCTTTCCTTTTGTTTAGATCGTCAACCTCGTCCGGCGGGCTTGACCGCCTCCGCGTCCTCGATCTCCAGTGGAGCGTCCTCGTCCCAATCCTTGGGCTTGGTCGCTTCCGGATCGGGGATCTTCGCCCACTCGTCCCAGTCCTGGGGCTTCTTGTCGTCGGGATCGGGGATGGTCTTGGGCGGGATCACGGCTGGCTCGAAGTCACTCACGAGGAGGTTGACGCTCTTCTCCTCCTTGCCGTCGACGAGGATCTTGAGCGTGTTGTTCGGGTAGATCACTGTTGTGTAGACGTGAGAGAGCTTGTCAGCCACTGGCGATGGCAAGTACTTGAGGTGATGCTCGATGTGCTTGTAGATGAAGTGGATGTTGTTGGTGGTGCCGCATTTGTCTGGCCCAAACATGATTGAGTAGGGGGATTCGTTGCTGAAATTGCCGGGCGTCCATCCAGCCTCTTGCAGGAGAAGGAACTTGAAAAGTTCAAAAGCTCGGGGGTAGTTAGGTGGTGAAGAACCTTAAGAGGAGATTAAATCTTTTATTTTCACACTAACATTAATATTGAAACCCAATTCAATTCTCATAGCTAACAATTGTAGAGAATTAAAGTTTGGCAAACCCTAAAAGAAGTAAAGAGATAATCGTAGATGATCATTCCTTGGCAAAAGGAGGATTCTTAAGCACCAAATAGGATAGAAAAAATTTATAAACAAAACCCTCTTTTGGAAAGAATGCACATTTTAAGCTTTTACCTGAGTTAAAGTAATGACAAATAATCTTTGAAACAATAACAAAAACTTATTAAATATAAAATAACATTAAATTGCAATTTTGGATGCAAGAATAACAAAATGTATATTTAACAAAATGCCATGTTAGAATTTAGTATTGTTGCTATATGTCTATGCAGGATCAAGAGATATGGACTTGACAATGATGATTTTTCGATAAAATGCCATACCAGCAGCTAGTTTCCTGGAACACCATGCTTGATGCTTATGCCCAAAACGGGTATATGGCAGAAGCAATGGTCATGTTCAATGCAATGGTGGAGAAGGACTATAATTCTTGCTGGCTATGGCCTTAGTGGCCAGATTTCACTTGCAAGAAAAACTTTTGCCCAGATGCCAGGGAAGAATGAAGTTTCTTGGGATGCAATGCTCACTGCATGTACCCAAGCAGGGGATTTTGTTTCTGTGTTTGAGTTGTTTCACACTATGCAGATGGCCGGCATTTACAACCAAGTTGGATTTGTCTCCGCTCTCAATGCTCACGGCCAAGTTGGCAGTGTTAAATGTGCTAGAAGTTGCTTTGTTTCGATGGCTTTTGATTGTGGTATTCAGCCATGTCACCAGCATTACTCCTGCATAATCGATGGCTTGGCAAGAGCTGGTTACATCGACAATGCAAGAGAACTCATCGGAAACATGCCATTTGTTCCCACTTCTTTGGATTGGCTGTGCCTTTTAGCTGCATGTCGGAGCCTCGAGTGTGGAACCTGCGTATCAAAATGGGTGTCTGGAATTGCGAGCAGCAGAGCTATGTATCCTCCCTTGGCAAATGTATGGGCTTGGCATTGATAGAATCTAAGGAAAAAAAAACTGCTGCCTGGATTATGCTGTCAAATTGCTCGAGAATTTAAGACTAGAAGTACCAATTGCTCATGCGACTGGATTCTTGATGTTCCCATGAAGCATCGATGCTTCATGGGAAAAAAACAAATCATTTGTCTATATAACACCCAACATTCCCAGGATCTGAGCGTGGACCTCCTGGACCAAATCACCAGGGTGAGAGATCGCGAGCAACTTCAATCAAACAGATACCTTGCAATACCTAGCGATTGAGGTATGTGGAAAGCATATTTGCATTTGAACGGGTATGATTAATAAAAAACGCCGTTTAAAACGTGCATATAATATGGCGTTTAAAATGGCGTTTAAACACCAAGAATATTTTTAAAAACCCTAAAGAATATGCTTTCTTTTACTTAGGATTTAGGGTTCACGTAAAATCAGGGTTTGCAGGATCCGGAAGCGTTGAGGTAAGTCTGGGATGGGGGGAGGAAGGCAGCCATGCTGGAGCTGGGCTCATGTTCTGTCGACATCCGAGACAAGCCACGGGGTGAGTCCATGGAAGTGTAAGTATTGCTCAAATACTTACACCGGCACGGCTGAACGAGTTTATGTTCACCTTGGGGGTATGAAAGGAAGGAATGTAGAGATTTGTATAGGACAGGTGCCACTGGAGGTGGTGAACAAGGCTCGGGCATCTTTTAATTGTGTGGAGCTCACAAAGAGCTCCATGATTGCAGCAAGTCCCCAAGAGAGACTTGCCTTAGCTCACGAGATTGAGGTCAGTGAGGTGAGCGGTGGTGCCAGCTGCGGGGCAAGTGGTGGGGCTACCGGAGGGCTGGGTGAGGTGAGCAGCGGCAGTGTTCCACTTTCTGGGAGCAGCAGTCTTAAACGAAGTGCTGCACCGGCGCTGGATGGTGACATTCAAAAGATGATGAAGTCTGCAAAGGTTCAATGTCTGGATGATGCCGTGGCCGAGTTCTTCTATGTTGAAAATATCCCTTTCAACACCATTCGGAGGCCAAATCTGAGGAAGTTTCTTCAAGCTGCTATTGACTTCAGCCCTAGAGCTCTTGCACAGATGATGGGATATGAGAAGCTACGGAGTACACAACTGAAGAAGCTTTATGATAGTGTCAATGCTCGACTTGATCCAATCCATGAGGGGTGGAGAAGATATGGAGTTAGTATCGTCACCGATGGCTGGTCTAACAACCGTAGCCGATCCTTGATCAACTTCATGGCCTCCAACGTCCAGGGTTCGGTTTTCTTGAAGTCTATAAATTCCGAGGGCAGGACAAAGACGGGAGAGTGGATTTGGGTTGAGCTGAAGAAAGTGATTCAAGAAGTTGGCGAAAAAAACATTGTTCAGGTGATCACTGACAATGCATCAAACTGTGTGCAAATGGGAGAACTCATGACAGCTGAGTATCCTCACATTCTCCACAGCTAGTGTGTGTGCCACGTCTTGGACCTTCTCTTTGAAGACATTGGGAGCTTGTCATGGGTAAAACCACTGGTGAAAGGCTGCAACGAGGTGGTAACTTTTATCACCAAAAAACCTCATGTTCTGGCTTTGTTTCGGAAGCTGAGCAATGGAGATCTCATCAAGCCGGCGAGCACAAGGCTCGCTTACATGTTTCTAGTGATGTCTCAGCTCCTAAATCTGACGACCTTGGAGGCATTGAAGGAGATGGTTGTGAGCTCCGAGTGGCGGCGATTGGACGTCACGAAGACCGCCAAAGCCCAGTGCATTCAAACTCAGATCTTAGAAGAGACTCCTAACTCTTTCTGGACTAGGTGCCAGCACTTGTTGGTGCTGCTTGGACTGCTCCTCAAGGTCTTGAAGCTTGCGGACCGGGAGGGGGCAACGTCCAGTCTTATTTTCGAGGCTATGGACTGGATGAATGAGAAGCTTTCAGAGGCTGTTGAGACTGGGATTTTAGCCGAGGAAGAGGTCAAGGAGATCAACAGGTTCATGATGGAGGATCATGGCAAGGGAGGTTGGAAAGCAGCTTGTTGGTTCCAGATGCATTCGATCTTGCATGGAGTTGCTTTTGTTCTGAACCCAACTTTTCTTCATCTCCCTCTCGACCAGGAGGCTTAGGAAGATTTTGTGGAGTACCTAGAGTTGTATTGCAAAGGAGATTGAGGACTTCAACACAAGCTGCTGCACGAGTTTCAGAGTTTCCGTCAACAACTTGGCCATTTGTTTTCTTCGGAGGCAGCAAAGCAGGTGCGTATAAACTGTTTGTTTGTCAACTTTTTAAACTGATTCTCTTGTATAGATGGAGAACTGGAAACACCCGGTGAGTTGGTGGAGCAACTTTGGTGTAGGCACACTAGAACTTCAAAGGCTTGCTTTATGGATCTTGAGTCAGCTAGTTTGTGCTTCACCATGCGAGCGAAACTGGAGCTCATGGAGCATGATCTAGACGAAGAGGAAGTCTCGACTGCTCTCCAAAAACTTGGAGAAGCTGGTTTTTGTGCACACAAATATGCATGTCATACAGAAGATCGAGTCCGGGAGTTTGAGGCTTATTGAGCATGATCTTGATAACCTTGAGCTTGAGCCTCAGTGGCAAAGGATCCTTGCACTTCAAGAGGTTGTTGAAGAACCTCTTCAACAACCTGATGATGACAGTGCTAGTGGTGATGATGTTCTAGATTCGGAGGATGAAGATTAGATTAAACCTATATTATATTATGTTAAACTTTGTTTAGTAACAATTAATTATTTTTTAATTATATTAAAACTGAAAACCATTATACCCGTTCAAAAAAAAGCTAGACAGGTATTAAACATTCGATACCCGTTTGAATCCGGTTTTGTTCGAATGTTTGGATGCAAGTATGGTGGAAAGTGCAGTAGGCGAAAATTGTGTTTGATGATCTGCTGAGGTGTTTGATTCTATGCGAATGTTCTCAAAACTCTTCATCGAAAACTATCAAACGACCAATGTTTAATGCCTGACGACGACCATGATAGGTACTAAGAAAGCAAATATTCCTTTGCCCCACGATGCTCACACAAAGCTCTTCGGAGCGATGGAGATGGAACGATGCCCTCGTCAAGGCAGCGTGGGGCTGCCTTCTTTGCAATTGACACTCCAGCCGACTCGATCCAACGCCTTGGACTCCTCCAAATCGTCTGGTGCTTGTATCCGGCCTAGTCTCGTTGCGATTAAGTCAATGCAAGTGCTACGTCCATATCACCCATGTTTTGTATACACTTCCTTACAGATTGGGCTTCACCAGAACCTTAGACAAGCACGTTTGATTCCTCTGACAACAGCACGCAATGTAGCTCCGACCTCTCAAACTCCTTGAAGGATCGGTCACCAGTGATGTAGAACACAAAGGCGGGCGGGGACTTGTCAAGGATGTACGTCACTGCTCCAAGAGGGAGGCAGAGCATGGAGACGTGTACCGCAGCAAGTGCTGCCACTAGCCAAGCGAAAAGAAAGCCGTAGCTTGGGTAAAGCGTCCAGGCCTTCCCGAGTACTGGGAGTGCCATGGCGAAGACTGAGACGGAGATACCTTCCCTGTCAAGCAAAGGGAAACTAAAGAATATCACAGCCGCATTGATCTAACACTGTCACACCTGTAATCGAATGTCTGCAGATATGGATCTACAACCGCTGAAACGCCTCCCGTGGAGCATCGAAACCAGCTAAAGCCGTTCTCCACAACGTGGAAAGCATCGGCCTCTTTCACCCGGGGACCAGTTGGTCCCCAAGTCTCGGCTGGTTGGAGCACGATATTAATCTTAGCACATCCACCAAGAACTTAAAGAACATCATCATAACTTCGCTCTACCTCTTTTTCCCGGCCTGGCGCATCATGTCTGGAAACTCGAAATCTTAACAAATAGCTCCTCCAATCCGGCCAAGCTCGGTCTTGATGGCAGGCAGAATGGGATCCCCTGGAGTTCCATACCACTCCACGAATGGAAGCTTTTCTGTAGCTAAATCCAATGGAGCCATCGGGAAGAACGAGGTCGAAATAGTTCCCGACTCTTCCAGTGCTCGCGTCCTTGTACTCGTAAGTGATGCCAATGTAGGCGCCGTGCTGGGAAGCGATCTGTCCGGCTTTGATTTGAATCAGTGCCACGTCGTGACACTTCATCAGAGTGTTCAAGAAACGCAAGACGTAACACTACAAACTTGCAATTGTCTATCCAATCTTTGAGGAATACGTGCATAAAATCTCGATCATACCTTTATCTTGCGCAATCCAAGATGTGTTTCGGTTTCTCTCAATCCTCTAACAGGCGAAAGCAGAGGCGAAGGCGCCCGTCTGCAGCACCGGGCGCCTTCGTGAGTGGTGGCGGAGCTTGTGCTGGCACTGGCGGCGGAGGCTGTGGTGGCGGTGGCGGCGGTGGTGGTGGTGGTGGCTGCGGAGGCGGCGGTGGAGGCTGCTAAATACTCTGTATGAGAAATAGCCATGCATATGAATGTTTGTAAATATACATATTCCTGGGTTTTCCAATTGAACTTGTTTGTTTTTCTACAGCCAAGGATTGAGCTGGCCACGATCTTAGCACTGTTTTGGAACTAGTAAGTAGAATCTCGTAGAATCTATTCAGCAATTCTATGTACTTCAGGTACTATAGTGATTCAAGTAAAATCCAAAAAAAAGGGAAACATCCACTTACAATACAACGTTTTGAGCTCTCTTCTCTTGTCTGCTCTCGAGTAAAAGCTTTGATTCTTCTAGCTCTCTCTCGCCTCCTGTTTTCTTACAATTCGCGTCGGGTTCTCCTTTGGCGGGCGCCCTCGCCTTCCTTCTCAATCTTGTTGCCAGCCGCATCGTCCTCTGCCTTGTCCTTGGAATCGTCCGGGCTGGAGATGTCTTCCTTCTTGGACTTCTCTACAGTCACCTGTTGCCAGCCGCATCGTCCTCTGCCTGATCCTTGGAATCGTCCGGGCTGGAGATGTCTTCCTTCTTGGACTTCTCTACAGTCACCTGCGCAAGACAAACAACCATGACAATCCAAAACTCGCGCAACGGTATTGGCTAATTGTACCTTCGTCTTCTTGGGGGGCGATTTCTTGCCACCAAAAAGAATCTTAAACAGCGTGACCGAAAAGAAAGTTAGAATACGAGACAAAGTCCATGTTCATGTGTTTTACTTACAAGAATCTTTTCCTTCTGTGACGCCAAAGCCGGGATGTCGGCAACCTTGCGCAGGTACTCAAACATCTTTGCCTGAAAAGATTCAAGGTCGTCACACACACACAAAAAAAAAAAGACGGACAAAAGAAAACAAAGGAAAAGTACCTGGATGCCGTCAGGACTAGGAGTCACTTCTTCAATTTTTTGCTTCTCCTTCTCAGCCTCGTACTTGGGCTTCCATTTCGTCTCCCTGTACTCTGCTGCCACAGCCTCGTCGGTCGCCACCAGGATGTTGTCAAAAAGAATGCCGTCCTGCATCGTCCAGATCTCGATCCCTATCGCCGAGATCGGCTCTAGATCCGGCCTGTCCAACTCGAAGTACTCCGGGTTCGGTATTTGCTTCGGAGCCCAGATCCCCTTGTAAGCCGGGTTGTCGATCATCGGAGGATACCACTTCCCCTTGTAGTCCGGGTTCCTCTTCATGGGCCTCTTCCATTCTCCACACCCAGACGCTTCCTCACACTTTGGGTTGCTGATCTTCGGGGGCTCCCACTCGCCATCCTCCTCGTCGTCCCAGTCCGCGGGCTTGCTAGCTTCCGGATCGTCAACCTCGTCCGGCTCGTTGTCCAGCCAGTCATCGGGCTTGACCGCCTCCGCGTCCTCGATCTCCAGTGGAGCGTCCTCGTCCCAATCCTTGGGCTTGGTCGCTTCCGGATCGGGGATCTTCGCCCGCTCGTCCCAGTCCTGGGGCTTCTTGTCGTCGGGATCGGGGATGGTCTTGGGCGGGATCACGGCCGGCTCGAAGTCGCTCGAGAGGAGGTCGACGCTCTTCTCCTCCTTGCCGTCGACGAGGATCTTGAGCGTGTTGTTCGGGTAGATCACTGCTGTGTAGACGTGAGAGAGCTTGTCAGCCACTGGCGATGGCAGGTACTTGAGGTGATGCTCGATGTGCTTGTCGGATTTGGGGCCCTTGTGCTTGTAGATGAAGTGCACCTTGTTGGTGGTGCCACATTTGTCCAGCCCAAACATGATTGAGCAGGGGGATTCGTTGGGCGTCCATTGTAGGAGAAGGAACTTGAGATAGGCGATGCCACACTTTAATTCCTTCTGGAATTATAAAGATTGGGTTTAAACCTTAGTCAAATAGACAATCACATAAGTGGGGAGTTAAATTATGTTTTAAGTTAGTCAACTATGCTTATCCTTATTATACTCATCAAAAGGTTATGTGGTGAAAAACTTTAAGACAATATTAGATTTTGTATTTTCACACTAGATTATAACATTGGTATTAAAGCTTAATTTAATTCTCATGGCTGACAAATATAGAAGGAAAACCAAGGTTGGTAAACCTTAAGAGAAGTACCATGGTGACCAGAGGATAGCTTAAATATGATTGTAGATAATCATTCCTGAAGGATTGTTAAGCATCAAATTAAGGTAATAAAATAGAAAAAAGGCTTATAAACAAAACCCTCCTTTGTAAAAAAAATGCATGCTTTAGGATTTTACTTTAGTCCCAAAAATTAATCTTTAAAAAAATCACAAAAAGTTATTAAATATAAAATGACACTAGATTGCAAATTTAGATGCAAGAATAACAAAGTGTATATTTGACAAAATGATATGTTAAAGTTTAGTATTGTGGAGTTCACTATTGTATGTCTATGCAGGATCAAGAGATATGGACTTTGACACGACGATTTTTCGATAAAATGCCATACCAACAGCTAGTTTCTTGGAATGCCATGCTTGATGCTTATGCCCAAAACGGGTATATGGTAGAAGCAAGGGTCATGTTCAATGCAATGGTGGAGAAGGACGTAATTTCTTGGACTAGAATGCTTGCTGCCTATGGCCTTAGTGGCCAGAGTTCACTTGCAAGAAAAACTTTTGCCCAGATGCCAGGAAGGAATAAAGTATCTTGGGATGCAATGCTCAGTGCATGTACCCAGGCAGGGGATTCGGTTTCTGTGTTTAAGTTGTTTCACACTGTGCAGATGGCCGGCATTTACAACCAAGTTGGATTTGTCTCCGCTCTCAATGCTCACGGCCAAGTTGGCAGTGTTAAATGTGCTAGAAGTTGCTTTGTTTCGATGGCTTTTGATTGTGGCATTCAGCCATGTCACCAGCATTACTCCTGCATGATCGATGGCTTGGCAAGAGCTGGTTACATTGACAATGCAAGAGAACTCATCGGAAACATGCCATTTGTTCCCACTTCTTTGGATTGGCTGTGCCTTTTAGCTGCATGTTGGAGCCTCTGAGTGTGGAACCTGCGTATCTAAATGGGTGTCTGGACTTGCGAGCAGCAGAGCTATGTATCCTCTCCTGGCAAATGTATGGGCTTGGCATTGACAGAATCTAAGGTAAAAAAAACAATGTTACCTGGATTATGTTGTCAATTTGCGAGAATTTAAGACTAGAAGTCAAACTCTTACCAACTGCGTTTCATGCTTTCAAATATGCTATATTGCACATTCTATGTGTCTACAACACCCAACATTCCAAGGATCTGAGCGTGGACCTCCTGGACCAAATCACCAGAGGCTTTCAGGGATCGCGAAGAACTTCAATCAGACAGATACCTTGGAAACCTAATTCTCTACTTTGAGACGTCTTTCTGGCATTTTGTTGAACAAATAGCAAGGCGGATCGCTTTTTGCCTGCTATTCTATGTGAACATTCTCAAAACTCTTAAAATCTGAATGTTTGATGCCTACTTGCTGCAATGATAGCTACTAACGAAGCAAAGACATTGGCCACGATGCTCGCACGAAGCTCTTCGGAACGATGGAGATGGAAGGCGATGCGCCTTGGCACTGCATCGCCTTCTTTGAAATCCCTTTCCAACTCCGTGACACTCCAGCCGACTTGATCCAACGCCTTGCCTCCAAATCGTGCGGTGCTGCGGTGTCCGGCCTCAAGTCTCGGCATCTAAAAAAGTGTGATTCTCTCGCTTCACCAAACGGGCGATTAAGTCATGTCACCCATGTTTTGTACACTTGTTTACAGATTGGGCTTCACAGGAACCTTGACAAGCACGTTTGATTCCTCTGGCAATAGCACGCAACGTAGCTCCGACCTCTCAAACTCCTTGAAGGATCGGTCACCAGTGATGTAGAACACAAAGGCAGGCGGGGACTTGTCAAGGATGTACGTCACTGCTCTAAGAGGGAGGCAGAGCATGGAGACGTGTACCGCAGCGAGTGCTGCCACTAGCCAAGCGAAAAGAAAGCCGTAGCTTGGGTAAAGCGTCCAGGCCTTCCCGAGTATTGGGAGCGCCATGGTGAAGACCGAGTCGGAGATACCTTCCCTGCCAAAGAAACAGAAGAATATTAAAAAGCTTTGGTTGATCAAAACTGTCACACCTGTAATTGAATGTCTGGAGATATGGATCTACAACCGCTGAAACGCCTCCCGTGGAGCATCGAAACCAACTAAAGCCATTCTCCACGACACAGAAAGCATCGGCCTCTTTCGCCCGGGGACCGCTTGCTCCCCAAGTCTCGGCTGGTTGGAGCATGATATCAATCCTAAAAACATTCACCAGAAACTTAGAGAACACCATCATAACTGTGCTCTACCTCCTTTTCCCGGCCTGGCGCATCAGGTCTGGGAACTCGAAATCGTAACAAATAGCTCCTCCAATCTGCCCGAGCTCGGTCTTGATGGCAGGAAGAATGGGATCCCCTGGAGTTCCATACCACTCCATGAATGGAACCAAGTGGGATTTCCTGTAGCTAAATCCAATGGAGCCATCGGGAAGAACGAGGTCGAAATAGTTCCCGACGCTCGCGTCCTTGTACTCGTAAGTGATGCCAACGTAGGCGCCGTAGGAGCTTGCCCAGGACGCAAGAGACCGGCACTGTTTTCTTCATCGTGATGGCGATGTCCTTCTGGAAGAAATCCCCCGAGAAAATGGAGACCCTGGCGCTGCCGTAGAACAAGATCGAGAGAGCAATGGCTCCAAACGCCAGGGAGTGGCCGCCATGCAGCTGCGTAGCACGCTTCTTGTCGGATTTTTCCATCTTGGAAAGATTCTCGTCGAGAACGGCCCTGTCGTGGAGAATCGCCGAGAACCACGCCATGAGGAATGCGATCCCATCGATCCCCCACACGCCGGCGCTCATCACCAGCGGCAAGATTGTAACCTGGGAAACGGCCGGATGGAGGAAGGAGCCGACGCCGCCGAATCGATTCCACAACAACCACGCCGTGGTCCAGATCGACGCGAATACCAGCGGCTGGGAGATTCTTGCTCGGTCAAAACGCTTCCTGTAGCCGATGCTTGCAAGAAATGGGAGGAGAAGAAACATCCACAGCGCCAGTGCCCAGATTATTCCCACAATTGGCACGCTGCTGGCCTTGGAGTTGTCCGGGCTCACCTTTCCCGGGAAGAATGCCAAGAATGCCAGGCTCGCGGCAGTGGTGTGGAGGATGAGCGCCAGGAGAATTGTGAGCGCCGCAGAGCTCCATGAGCAAGAATTGTGCGAAATCCCTGATTTGTGGAAGAAATGCAGGAGGAAAAATGGTTGGAGCCAAGAACAAATTGCAACAGATTGGAAACCAGAGAAGAAAGTGCACGCCACCGAGAGAATGACTAACAGTGCCACCTTCCTCATGTCTCTTGGTGCTTGTTTGAATGTAGGTGGTAATTTATATTCTTATTATATTCATCAAAAATTAAATAATTTGTAAGGTGAAAGGATTATACTATAAATATTTAGGGGATATACCTTAATCTAGCCGTTTTAATTTTTTAATCAGTGTTTAATACTATATCTTAAATATAAACCAAATGTCTAAAGTTAATTGAAATCTCTCAGAGGAAAAAAAAATTGTACTATTTCACTTTTTTATAATACAAGACTCTTATCCTTTTGCCTATATTTACATCTTCTTTCCCACTTGTATTTTTTGAATTATAAAATATTAAGACCATGAAATAATTATATTCATTTAAGCTGCCACTTAGAGGTCATTAATATTTGATATGGCCAAAAAGATAACTCACCATCATTTAAAGAATTTTTTTGATTCTTAGATTATAAATCTTTTAATTTTTGTTTTGTTCCCATCAAGTTGCAAAAGTTTTTGGAAGCAATCTAAAAAAATATTATATTCAAACAGTCTTAGAATAATTTAACCACACTAGTTGCATAAAATTTTTAACTTATTTATAGATTGTAAGTAGTAAAAATAAATGACTTGCATAAAAGTTTAAATATAAAAAGAAAGAACCAATTGAATTTTTCTCTCTGTAGTTTCCAAGAAACACTAGGAAACCCTAAAGATTAGGGCAATGTGCTAGTGTGATTCATAGGATATTTGGGATTAAATATTTTTGGGTTTGAATAATAGTGGGTTAGATAACTTCCTAGAAATTGGTTGAGTAGGGGAATTACACTATATGTTTAATTAACATCTAGTAAAAGAATGGCATTCTCAGGAAATTACTACTAAAACAATGATCAAATATAAAAGGAAAAAGTTTATGAATAAGAATGCACATATTTTTTCAATCAGTTAAAGATTTTAGGATATTATAGTGAAATATAAAAAAAAAAGCATATGAATAAAACATTTCATTTTCCAATTGATTAAGGATATTAGGCTTTTAAGTGATGGGATAACCACCTTTACCACTAACTTTCATATTTTAAAATATTCTACCATCTAATAATTAAATTCGTTTTGTATTTAAACCCTTTTTTAGTATATTCTCGTTTATTCTACTATTTAATTTACAAACAAATTATTCTTCTCATAATGAGTTTTTATTATTATCATTAAATATTATGGACTATGAACAGAAACTCTAACATTCATTTTATTCAATCCTGCAAAGTAAATCTCTCTTGCTTCATAAAGGCTTTGAATCTTAAAAGGAATCATCCACTTGCTGATGATTCCTTCCTCAGCAACAAACTCATCCAGATGTTTGGCAAATATGGATGCCCACAAGAGGCACGCCAAATCTTTGATACCATCAAACACAAAGACTCCTTTTCGTGGGCTTTCATGTTTCAAGCTTACGCTCAAAACTCCCATCTTAAACATGCAAAAGAGATCTTCGACAAAATGCCGCAAAAGGATGTCTTTGCATGGACATCCATGCTCTTGGCATATGCCCGAACTGGGCATGTTCTCAATGCCCAAAAAACATTTGATGAGATGCCGCAACACAGCCTTCTCTCATGGAACGCAATCCTGTCTGTCCACGCACATAGCTGGGATCTAAAAAATTCCCAGAGGATTATCTCCGGAATGCCCGAGTATGATCTCGTGTCTTGGAATTCCATTCTTGCGGCATATGCCCGGAACGGGCATGTAGAGGGAGCGAAACGTGTTTTCGATTCTATGGAGGCTCGTGACCTTGTGTCATGGACGACAATCTTGGTTGCCTTGTCGCAGGGCGGAGATTTGCACGGAGCAAAGCTTTTGTTTGATGCAATGCCGCAGCACGATCTCGTCGCCTGGACCGCGATGCTTGGCGCGTACGCACTGAACGAGGATGTCGATTCGACACAGAGGATTTTCCGCGAGATGCCTGAGATAGATCTCGTTTCGTGCAACACCGTGATGCGATGCTGCGTGATGCTAGACAATCAAAGCTTATATTTGACTCCATGCCGCAGAGAGCTCTCTCGTCGTGGACAACAATGCTCGCTGTTCTTGCCAAGAACAGCCCCGGGGAGGAAACCAAGAGCTTTTTCTATCAAATTCCGGAGCTTGATCTTACTTCCTGTACGATAATGCTGCTCTGACAACCCTCAGACTTGGAGCCTGTGAAGGCCACCTTTGATCAAATGCCGCAGCGAGACCTGTGCTCTTGGAACTCTGTTCTTTCGGTGTATGCCCAATCAGGGCATTGTGACTTTGCTCTTAGACTCTTTAACGAGATGCCCGAAATGGATATGGTTTCGTGGAACACAATGTTAAATGCGTTTGTTCTAACTAGCAAACTACGTGAAGCTGCTTTACTCTTTCATAGCATGCTAGAACGCAACGTTGTGACCTGGGATGCTTTAATATCTGCATTTTCCCGAGAAGGCCATATTGTATACGCAAGGAAACTTTTTGATACAGCCCCTGACAGAGACCAAATCTTGTGGAGCTCCATGATAGCTTCATATGCACAAGTAAGCACCACTGCCAGCAAGGCCTTTCATCTCTTCAACGAAATGCAGGCCGTCGATTCCCCAAACACATCGTGCTTCGCATCCATCCTGGCCGCAAACAGCCACAAAGGCAGCTTTCAAGCGGGAAAGAGCTTCTTCGCTTCCATGGTTGTGGATCACGCCATTGAGCCCACAAGGCAGCACTACAGTTGCATGGTAGATCTCTTGAGCCGAGCCGGCCACCTTCACGACGCCAAAGATCTAATCTTAAGCATGCCGTTCGTTCCCAGTGCTCTCGAGTGGACGTGCCTTCTCGGAGCATGCAAGAGCCACGAGGATTATAACAGTCTTAGACTGGGAGACGATGTAGTGAGATCTGTAATGGATGTAACCGACGCAACTCCCAAGACACCCTATGCTTTACTAGCGAACGTCTACACAAGCTCCCAAACAAAAAATCCACACTATATGTAAAATCTAAGGACTTACTCTCTCCTGTACACATGAAGTCATTTTAATCACCTCCGCCACCGCCACCTCCTCCGCCACAGCCCCCACCGCCACAGCCTCCGCCACCACCACAGCCTCCTCCACCGTGGCCTCCACCGTGGTCACCACCAAAGCCTCCATTGTGGTGGTGGCCACTGCTAAACATTGCTCCCACGAAATCGGAGCGCCTTCTTGGCTTTTGCCTTTTTGGAGATGGAAAGAAACTGAAACACATTTTGGATTGAGTGCTTGCAAGGGGGCATAATCTTCTGCTTGTATACAAGGCTAGAAGGCAATGTGAGACTTTGACTCAGAGGAAGCCACGAAGAAAGCAATGATAGCGCGTGGACCTGGAGAAGTTTATGCAATCAGTGCCACGTCGTGACACTTCATCAGAGTGTTCAAGAAACGCAAGACGTAACACTACAAACGTGCATTTGTCTATCCAATCTTTGAAGAATACGTGCATAAAATCTCGTCAAATTGCGCGTGAAGGAAGTTGCTTTGCTTGCTCCATATGGGGCCAATCAGATGTTCTCCTGCCTACTATATAAGCGCAAGCCTCCTCGCATCGATCATACCTTTATCTTGCGCAATCCAAGATGTGTTTCGGTTTCTCTCAATCCTCTAACAGGCGAAAGCAGAGGCGAAGGCGCCCGTCTGCAGCAACGGGCGCCTTCGTGAGTGGTGGCGGAGCTTGTGCTGGCACTGGCGGCGGAGGCTGTGGTGGCGGTGGCGGCGGTGGTGGTGGTGGTGGCTGCGGAGGAGGCGGCGGCGGCGGAGGCTGCTAAATACTCTGTATGAGAAATAGATATGAATGTTTGTAAATATGCATAATCTCAAACTTCCTCAAATAATACGTACAATTTGTTTGTTTTTTTTACAGTCAAGGATTGAGCTGGCCACGATCTTAGCACTGTTTTGGAACTAGTAAGTAGAATCTCGTAGAATCTATTCAGCAATTCTATGTACTTCAGGTACTATAGTGATTCATGTAAAATCCAAAAAAAAGGGAAACATCTACAATACAACGTTTTGAGCGCTCTTCTCTTGTCTTCTCTCGAGTAAAAGCTTTGATTCTTCTAGCTCTCTCTTGCCTCCTGTTTTCTTACGATTCGCGTCGGGTTCTCCTTTGACGGGCGCCCTCGCCTTCCTTCTCAATCTCGTTGCCACCCGCGTCGTCCTCCGCCTTGTCCTTGGAATCGTCCGGGTTGGAGATGTCTTCCTTCTTGGACTTCTCTACAGTCACCTGAACCATGAGAATCCAAAACTAGCGCAACTCTATTGCTAATTGTACCTTCGTCTTGTTGGGGGGCGATTTCTTGCCACCAAAAAGAATCTTAAACAGCGTGACCACCAAGATGAGCGGGATCAAAGCTATGGCGCTCAAAGAAATGGTTGGGAACTTCTCGGCCTTCTCCAGAAGATCCTGTGTGTCACAAACGAAAAGAAAGTAAGAATACGAGACAAAGTCCATGCTCATGTGTTTTACTTACAAGAATCTTTTCCTTCTGTGACGCCAAAGTCGGGATGTCGGCAACCTTGCGCAGGTACTCAAACATCTTTGCCTGAAAAGATTCAAGGTCGTCACACACACACACAAGAAAGAAAACAAAAGACAGACAAAAGAAGACAAAGGAAAAGTACCTGGATGCCGTCAGGACTCGGAGTCGCTTCTTCAATTTTTTGCTTCTCCCTCTCAGCCTCGTACTTGGGCTTCCATTTCGTCTCCCTGTACTCTGCTGCCACAGCCTCGTCGGTCGCCACCAGGATGTTGTCAAAAAGAATGCCGTCCTGCATCGTCCAGATCTCGATCCCTATCGCCGAGATCGGCTCTAGATCCGGCCTGTCCAACTCGAAGTACTCCGGGTTCGGTATTTGCTTCGGAGCCCAGATCCCCTTGTAAGCCGGGTTGTCGATCACTTCGGAGGATACCACTTCCCCTTGTAGTCCGGGTTCCTCTTCATGGGCCTCTTCCATTCTCCACACCCAGACGCTTCCTCACACTTTGGGTTGCTGATCTTCGGGGGCTCCCACTCGCCATCCTCTTCGTCGTCCCAGTTCGCGGGCTTGCTAGCTTCCGGATCGTCAACCTCGTCCGGCTCGTTGTCGTTTCCTAGCACACAAGCCTCACAAAATTCAAGCTTGCCTGTAAACTCGAATTCTTGTGCATGTGCTTGATCTCTGGACACTGCTTTGAGGGCGTCTTCATGCACATGGCCTAGACGCTCATGCCACAACTGGAGATTACTCGCTCGAGTTGAGAGCGCTCGATCTGGCTGCTTATCTGGAACAACCATGGTGGCGTCAAGTTTATAAAGTCCAGAATAGCGTTGTCCATAAGCCACTGCTTGATCTGTCTTCTCGTCTCGCATAATAGCCTGCTTGGCATTAAAAATAAAATAGAAACCGAGAATTCTTTGTTTGCTTTGAGTTGACAAACAAAGCTGTGGTTGTGGTTGTATCTGCGGGTGTCTGGTCTTCGGCTGGTTCTTCTTCATTGATAAGAGCTGCTTGCATTTCAATGAAGGTTTTCGTTGAGTTCTTGAGCATAGTCTTCAATGATTTGAATTCTGGGCGAACCAAAGCATTGAGAAGAACTGCTCGCTTATCATTCTCGGTGACTGCTTCACCTAGACTTGACAGTTGGGAGAGCACCGACTTCAGCCTTCCTAGAAAAGCTGCTGGAGTCTCGTCCGCTGCCATTTTTAAGCCAAAAAGTTTAGACTTTAACTCAACCTTTGAAATCTCTGCGCTCGCTTGGTTCCCAAATACGTTCTTCAAGGCTGTCCAGTTCTCTTCTGCGGTCTTCGTGATATCCAGGTGGTGGTGGTGCAATTTGCCCAGGCCAATCCCCATGGTGGAGACTGCCTTATCGTTTCTGACCTGCCATTCGTCTTCATCGCTTGCCGCTGACTTCGGCTCTGTTCCTTGGACAATTCTGAGACAGTTGTCCCGGAGAAAGAGGAACGAAATTTCTTTCGCCCAATTCTCAAAATCTGTGCCCGTGAATAGAGGGATCGGTATTAGTTGTGGTCATTTCTTCTACAATTTCCAGCACGCTCCACTTTTCTACAGCACGGATTTTTCCCTTCCTCTTCTTCTGCTGCAGTCGAGCAGTCACGCGATCTAGAGTCGCGTAGCCTTGCTGCTCGTTGCGTGGTCTTGTTTTGCCCATGAGATCATCGTTTGCTCCGATACCATGATAGTTTTCTAGTTAAACGACATACTCTGTTTCCCCTAACCTACTACCTTTTCATTTTCTCCATGTAAATATATACAAGTCTTGTGTCCGCTCATTTCAGCGTCCACATAAATCTCTTGCCACCTTGGATTAGACTCCAGGCTGGCTATCTACACAGCCAGTCATCGGGCTTGACCGCCTCCGCGTCCTCGATCTCCAGTGGAGCGTCCTCGTCCCAATTCTCGGGCTTGGTCGCTTCCGGATCGGGGATCTTCGCCCGATCGTCCCAGTCCTGGGGCTTCTTGTCGTCGGGATCGGAGATGGTCTTGGGCGGATCACGGCCGGCTCAAAGTCGCTCGAGAGGAGGTCGACGCTCTTCTCCTCCTTGCCGTCGACGAGGATCTTGAGCGTGTTGTTCGGGTAGATCACTGCCGTGTAGACGTGAGAGAGCTTGTCAGCCACTGGCGGTACTTGAGGTGATGCTTGATGTGCTTGTCGGATTTGGGGCCCTTGTGCTTGTAGATGAATTGCACCTTGTTGGTGTTTCCACATTTGTCTGGCCCAAACATGATTGAGTAGGGGGATTCATTACTGAAATTGCCGGGCGTCCATTGCAAGAGAAGGAACTTGAGATAGGCGATGCCACACTCTAATCCCTTCTGGAATTATAAAGATTAGGTTTAAACCTTAGTCAAACACAGAATAAGGGAGTTAAATTATGCTTTAAGTTAGTCATCCATGTTTAGCTTACCCAATATCTTTATTATATTTTTGGAATTCATCAAAAACTAAAAAACTCAAAAGTAGTTTTATGGTGAAAAACCTTAAGAGAATATTAGATTTTGTATTTTCACATCAGATTATAACATTGGTATTGGAGCCTAATTTAATTCTCATGGCTGACAAATATGGAAGGAAAACCAAGGTTATGGTGACTAGAGGATAACTTAAATATGATTGTAGATGATCATTCCTAAAGGATTGTTAAGCACCAAATTAAGGTAATAGAATAGAAAAAAGGCTTGTAATCAAAACCCTCCTTTGTAAAAAAAATGCATCCTTTAGGATTTTACTTTAGTCCCAAAAATTAATTTTTAAAACAATCACAAAAACTTACTAAATATAAAATGACACTAGATTGCAAATTTAGATGCAAGAATAACAAAGTGTATATTTGACAAAATGATATGTTAAAGTTTAGTACTGTGGAGTCCACTATTGTATGTCTACACAGGATCAAGAGATATGGACTTTGACATGACGATTTTTCGATAAAATGCCATACCAACAGCTAGTTTCTTGGAACACCATGCTTGATGCTTATGCCCAAAACGGGTATATGGTAGAAGCAAGGGTCATGTTCAATGCAATGGTGGAGAAGGACGTAATTTCTTGGACTAGAATGCTTGCTGCCTATGGCCTTAGTGGCCAGAGTTCACTTGCAAGAAAAACTTTTGCCCAGATGCCAGGGAAGAATGAAGTTTCTTGGGATGCAATGCTCAGTGCATGTACCCAAGCAGAGGATTCGGTTTCTGTGTTTAAGATGTTTCACACTATGCAGATGGCCGGCATTTACAACCAAGTTGGATTTGTCTCCGCCCTCAATGCTCACGGCCAAGTTGGCAGTGTTAAATGTGCTAGAAGTTGCTTTGTTTCGATGGCTTTTGACTGTGGCATTCAGCCATGTCACCAGCATTACTCCAGCATAATCGATGGCTTGGCAAGAGCTGGTTACATTGACAATGCAAGAGAACTCATCGGAAACATGACATTTGTTCCCACTTCTTTGAATTGGCTGTGC